AAATAAAATACACAATAAATTTTTTGATCTTTTTTATCTTTTTTTTATTTTAATTGGTCTTTGCAAAGTCTTTAACAGTGGGGTAAAAATTTACCACATGACTTAATTAATATATTTTTATTTTAAATTTAATTTACTAGAAATGGTCTTTCTTATTAATGAAGACAAATAACACTTGTATATAATATAAAAAGAGACGGAAAATTCAAATAACTCAAAATATAGTAATAACGCAATATCCAAAATTTTCAAATAAAAAAAAAAGACTTTGGAGAATGGTTAGAATCATAAATGATTACACGCTAGCTTGTAAAAAAACCGATACTGTGGAAACGTGTTGGTGTGATTTCCGTGTAAATATTTATGAATGTCAACAAGAAAAATTTTGGATAACGATTAACTTGATAAATTTACCATTTTGTGTTCTAATAACGACTATTTCAGCCATAATGTTGTTTCATCTTATTAAATTCAAGAAGCAATCATTTTTCTTGTCTTCGACAAGAGACAGGGGTCTATTAAGACCAAGATCAATTCATACTTATCATTTATTAATAATATTTTATCATTTATGTAAGTTTATTAAAAAAATTTATGGAATGAATGAATCAATATAATCAATAAGAATCAATATAATCAATTAATCAATTATCAATATAATAAAAATTACTTACAAATAAATCATCATAATTTGAGTAATGAATGAATTCATTGGTAAGAGAATATTCCATATTGAATAATATAATATATCTAATCCGTGTACAAATATTAATTCTCTCTTATATAATAGAGAAAAAAATATCAATGCAATAAATTTGGGTATTAAACCAATAATTAGGTTTAACATAAGAATATTCAACTAGGAGAAAAAATTAAATGTGTGTTTGTTAGCTTCAGTATACACATATTAATTAACATATTACACCACCACCTCACTTAACCTACCACCATATAATAATAATACTTACAACTTTTCTAGTAGTTTTTAGTCTCCTAATACTAGGAATATTTTTAGTGGAATCATTTTTATATATACAATTAATATAGCCACTAAGCAAAGAATAAATCTTGGACCAGATGTAAGCGGTTATAAAGATAAACGTAAATCCACGTACAACGTAAATCAGGTAGTGAATAGTGAAGAATAACTCGGCAAATTGTATGTTGTTGATGTCAGCTTCATGACCAGCAAAAGCTGCTAATGGCAATTGTATTGCTATTGGCAAGACCATCAACAATATACCAATAATATCAAGAATCTTAATATCCATTGATTTTTTAGCATAACTGATGTCATCGCCTTCCTTACGAGTTAACTTAAAGTTGTATTGAAATCCACTTGGTGTAGAATATACTTTTTGATTTTATGAGTGAATGAATGAATTAATGAATATATTGCAAATTTAACGAGTGTAATTATTATAAATATTATTATTATTAATCATTACCTAAACTTATGAGATAAAGTATTCCGAGTGAGCTTAGCATTTCATCCGATAAATGATGTACAACTATAATAAAACGATTTATAATTAGCATGTCTTAATATTAACATCAACTCACTATTTAGTAATAATTACGTTACCTTCTGCCCACAAAACGCTGGGATATAATTCCAGTATTAAACAAGTAATGTTAATTGATATAACTATACGTTAATTGATTAATTGATTGAAACAAACCTTAAATTCATCCCATTCAGTTGTAATAACTATGGCATCAGCATCTTCAGATGCTTCATAAGCTGTTTTGCTAATAGTGATAGATTTCTTTACTATAATAAATAAGGTTTAAATAAATAAATAATTATAAATCACATATATATATACACACGCACACACACATATATGTATGTACCTTCATTGATATTATT